GAGACCCCAGTATGAAGGAGTAGGTCGGGATCACCTCCCAGGTTGTGAGTGTGTCCACATGGACCTGAAGGTGGGTTAGGTAGGAGAAGGCCTGACTATCTCTCAGGGGTAAGTGCCACCTCCAACGTCTCGCCGTTAGAGGGAGTCCTGGGGGTTTGGGAGTTTAGTTGGGCCGAGCCCTTCGGGGCCTGATGGCCCTCCTTGAGGTCCGTGGGGAGAAAGTATCACGGGGTATTGCTAGTGATGCCATAGGCGAGGTAGGGAAGGGGGTGGTTAGTGGAGTATAGAATAGGGGGGGAAGGATAGGTAGGGAGGGGGGGAGTGGGTGAGAGGATTAAAGGGAGGAAGAAATTGTTGATCTCAGCTCGTCACTGCCAGGATTTAGGAATCCATAATCGTGCGGTATTCTGCAGAGGTGGTAAATTCTATCCAGTAGTACCAGGAGGCCGAGAATCTGGAGGAGGTGCCCCGAACTGAACTGGTGAGGTCTTCCATATGTCTGATGTCATTTATTTTAGAGAACCAGAGCTTAATCGTAGGTGGGGATACCTGTTTCCACAGTAATGGGATGCACGCTCGGGCAGCATTCAATAAGTGGATGAGGACCGATCTAGAGTAGCTCTTAGGTGGAAATTGGTTGTGGTGAAGGAGGAAGAAGGCTGGTTCGAGCGGGACGTCGTGATCTGTGAATTTTTGAGCTATCACTCGTACCTGAGACCAGAAGGGGCTGACCGAGGGGCAGGTCCAGAAAATGTGGAGCATGTCCGCAGGGGAGGAGCCGCAACGCCAACATGAGTCTGGTACATCTCGGAACATCTGGTGTAGTTTGTGGGGGGTCCTGTACCAGCGCGTGAGGATTTTATATCCCAGCTCCTGATATTTGTTGCAGATGGATGACTTCAGGGAGTAGCGGAATAGTCTGTCTCTATCGGTCTGTGGGAATTGAAACCCCAGTTCCCGTTCCCAATGGTCAATGAAGTACAGTGGGAGTTCTAGGTCGGTGTTGAGGGCCAGCTGGTAACAAAGGGAGAGTGTTTTGGCTATCGGCCCTGTATCAGCACAAGTTTGTTCAAAGGTGGAGAGATTCCGTGAGTAGGTTTGGGGGTGCGGGAGGGATGACAGGAAGGGTGTGAGTTGTAGACATCGCCATGTCCCCAGGTTCATGAGGTCGGGATCAGAAGATTGGGCACCCAGGGCCTGCCAAGATGGACCATTTAAAAAATGCATCACTCTGAATTTGCCCCCGGCCAGAAGACGAAGGAAACGTCCGTCCTCTAGACCTGGGGGGAACCCGGGGTTCCCTATGATCGGTTGCATGGGGGAAGGCTGAATGGACAATTTCGCCCGATCGAATGCCTGACTGGACACCTGCCATGTGGATCCCACCATCGGGTGGATCTAGGGATAGGCCCGGTGCACCACGTCAGGGCCTGGGCGTCCCGGGGGACGGGGAGATTGTAGAGACCGGAATAATAGTTTTGAAAGGCCGCGGCTATATCTTCTGAGAGGTGGCACGTCCGGCCCGCAGATGATTTAATGACTGGAATGAACGTGCGTGACCGCCGGTGTCTTAGAGCCTGTGCCCAAGAGCGGCTACACTGGTTGCCGAACTCATAAAAGTGGCGGCGGCACTTGGCTAGTGTAGCTTTTGCCCTATCCATGTATAGGGACCGTAGGGAGTCACGCAAGGAGCGGAGCTGGGTGAGTAGGGAAGGGTCTTGGCGTTTTTTGTGGCTGAGTTCCAGGGTATGGATTTGTGAGAGAAGCGAGAGCTGTTGACCCAACCATTGTTTCTTGCGGTGGGTCCCTAGCTTTATAAGAGTACCCCGTATGTAAGCCTTGTGTGCTTCCCAAATGGTGTAAGGCGAGCAGTCCGGTGTGGAATTCTCTGTGAAGTAGAGGCGGAGGTCTCGTTCAATGTCAGGGGATGTCTCGGGATCCTGTATGAGTATCTCATTAAGCCTCCAGTTCCAACTGCGAGGCTCTGGGGGGCCGAGTTCCAGTGTCAGGAGCACGGGAGCGTGGTCTGAATAAGTGATATTACCTATGTCCGAGCGGGAGATCCTGGAAAGGTTACTGTGGTGTATCAGAAAAAAGTCGATACGGGTATATGTGTCATGGACTGTGGAGTGGTAGGAATAGTCTCTGGTGTCAGGGTGGTGAATATGCCATACGTCGGAAAGCTGGTGAGCATGGAGGCATTTTTTTCAGGCGTTTCAGTGCAGCAAATGGCAGGTGGGAGGACTGCTTAGTGGAGTCAACTAGATGGTCCAAGTGTAAATTAAAGTCACCTCCAATCACGAGTAAGCCCTCCCGGAAGTCATCCACCTGGAGAAGGACCCGTTCCAGAAAAGTCACCTGTCCCTGGTTGGGGGCATATATGTTAACAAAAGTCACCGTGTGACTACCTACCCTACCCTTTACCATCAAAAGGCGGCCCTCCTCCCCCGCGGACATTGCAGTAAGCTGCCATTGCAAAGAGCGGTTGAGCACTATACTGACTCCCCTCGATTTTTTGTCTGGGGAGAAGCTGTGGTACGTTACCGGATATCGCCGATCCCGAAGGGAAGGGGCACGCCCCTCGGCATTGGACCGGCCCCATAACAGTAAGACATCAACAGTAAGACTCAGGGTCCGGGCTCGGCCGTCCGCAGCCATGCCACGGGAGAAGCAGGCTGACTGGGCCGCGCCGGGAACCATAATAAGTCCAAAACATAACATTTGTGGAAGGATACGACGCGGGTCCCTCCGGCATTTGTGGACACCATCTGGACAGCAGGAGGAGATGAGGAAAACATCAGGGTAAGACAGTCCACTGTCCCGTGGCCCGGGCCACCTCGGAGCCGGTACGGTCATCTGCTTGGGGACAAGGGCCAGGTGGGGGGGGGGGGGGAAGAAGGGGTCAATGCAGGAAAATCAGGGCTCCGCAGAGTTGGGACGGTCTGCCGGTCTCTGGGCCGGAGGCGCGCCGGACAATGACCGAGCAGGACGTCTAGCCCGGCGTGGTTTTGGAGACATCTGGGATTCATCGGGTAGGTGTGCAAGCCAGTCCGGTAGTCGAGGTGGGGACATCTGGAGTAGCTCGCAGAGGCCTGGAACATCTTCCGGGGAGCGGACCGTAAAGGAGGCACCTCCCTTGCGAACATGTAGGCAGATTGGATATCCCCATCTATAGGATGCTCCTGCCTGGAGGATCAGAGAGAGGAGAGGCCGCAGCAAGGCCCGGCGCCGGAGGGTATTGCGCGAGAGATCTGGCATCACCTGCAGGGCCGCCCCGTCAAACTCCACCGGTTTTTTCAGCCAGGCCAGGCGTAGAATGTCCTCTTTCATGGGGTATTGTTGGATGCGGCAGACAACTTCTCTCGGGCGCGCCGCTTCCGTAGATGGCGGGCCGAGGGTGCGGTGTACCCTGTCCAGTAAGATGAATTCCGGGGGTGTATCGGGGAGTAGTGAGCCAAATATGGCCTGCACCGTGGAACAAAGGTCCGCCGGGTTTGTAGCCTCCGGCAGGCCCCGTATTCTCACATTCTGCCGACGGTTGCGGTCCTCGAGGTCCTCCATTCGCAGTTGGAGGGCCGCAATGTGCGGTGACGTCTCCGGATGAGCGTGCTCCAAGGCCAGAACCCTGTTTTCCAGGGCCGCACACGTGGTGGTCACCGCGGATACTTCCGTCGATACCGTCTGGATCTCCTGTCGCATCTTAGACATGTCTCGCTGAAGAGCCGCCTCCACGCTAGTGACCAGGGCCGCAAAATCTTCCTTGGTGGGTAGGTAGTTCAGCAAGGCCCGGAACTCCTGCGGGACGTCAGACGGTTGCTTGCGAGAAGTGTAAGAGTCCGCGTCCGTGGAGTCGGAGTCGTATATCTGGGGTGAGTGTGTTCCGGAACGGAGTTCACTCGGTGTGGGGGAGCGAGACCGGGCATTGCCTCCAGGTGTGCGTAGGAGACGGGGCTCGGACGCCATGATGGATTGGTCTCGGCCTCGGGGCCTGGTGCGTGTCGAGGTGAAAAATTCCTGCATCGAGGGGGTTCCCCGCTGTGAGGCTTGCTTGTCTTCTTTGCTGCGTTTGGACATCTTGTGTGACCCAACTGTATTCCTCCTGTATTCTTGATATGAATCTGGAAGCTTTTTCTTAGAAAAGACAAGACTCTGTTAAAGAAAAATAAAACATTGTACCAAAAAAAGCTTTACGTTCCGTAAAGGTAAAAAAAAAAATGATCTAGGTAAACTAGTGAAAGAAGAATTATGGGGAGAGTGAAATACACTGGAACCCCATAATTAGAGCCGACATGTGACATTGAAGCTGTCACCTGTTGGCTCTATAGATTGAGAACTGAAGGATCACATATTGCTGATTGATCAGTTCCCGATCTTCTCCCTGGAGAGAGTGGTGACTGTCCGTTACTGCCTCCCCGCAGAAATTCCCCCTCCCCTCTCCTACATTGCTCATTGGAGGGATAGACGGGGAGGGGCAGGCACAGCTGACTCTGCCTTTAGAGAGGCAGAGAGAGCTGTCAATCAAGTGGTGGGCATTGTCAGAAAATAGCCCGCTTTATGCTGAGTTTTGGGTCACGGGGACATAGTAAATGTCCTCCTGTGGCCCTAAAGGGAACTATGGCCAAAAAAAAAGGTTGGGCTATAGTTCTCTTATAAAAGAGTTGTCATCCAGTTAACAGAAGCATACTGGAGATGCTAAATATTTTTGGGCATCAATGAGCTCTGGGCATGAAAGGGTTAAGGACTAAATACCTTTCATGTAGAAACTATGCCCCAGATTCACTGCTCACATTGGGTAAATACATAAAGCCTTGAGAAAATTTGTGTAAAATTTTTGTTTTGAGGGGCGCTGATTTCACAGACTGAAATGTAATTTCTCATTCAGTAATAATAAAATGTGACATAATACAAATGCTATAGCCAATCCGTGTGTTTATAAACCTACCAACATCCTTGTTTTATGTTGGGTGCAATGAATGACAAAATGCATTTTTCTCTTGCAGGAATGTGGCTTCGGATATGGCGAAGATGCTCAGTGTCTCCCTTGTAGACCCAACAGGTTTAAGGAAGACTGGGGCTTCCAAAAATGCAAGACCTGCCTGGACTGTGCCATTGTGAACCGGTACCAAAAAACAAATTGTACAGCTTCTGCAAACGCTGTTTGTGGAGAGTGTTTACCGGGGTGAGTAAATAGACTTTTCACTAATGAATTGACTAATTGATTAAAAGGTTGACTCAAGTGAAGGGGTTCACAATAACCAACCTTTGTAAGGTTGCTTGCTTCTACTGGTGGTTTCGACATAAAGTTCAGCGTAAGATTGATGTAATATGCTTTTCCATTTATTTATTTTTAAATTTAGAGTCTATAGGTGCAATACATCCTTCCCCATGAAATGCATTACATCGTGTTCCTATGGTATTGCTGGCCTCTGTTCACACCAGTGAAGTCCATTCCAGTGCGGGGGGAAAAAAAATGTTGCTTGTACTATTTTGTCTGGTCTAGAACGCACCCAAATGCATGCAAACACAGTGGAACGCACTGGACTGTACCTAAAAGGCCATTTTAAGCTACAAAAATGCACCGCACTGTGTCAAAAATGCACTGCACTGCGTTTGCAGATCTGGTCCAGACATCATGTGAACAAGCCCTGAAACAGGATATCTGGGCCAGTGCTCAGGGGTCCAGCTGATTCTGCAACTTTTAAACATTAAGGAGCAGCATTCAATGTAAGTGATTTAGTTAACATCTTGAATTGGCCTGAAAACATTTAGACTTTTATATCGCTTTGATACTTTCAGGCACGTCATTGAACTTCGATTCGATTTATATTACTATGTGTATATATATAAAAAAATGGGTTAATTGAGGTGTCTCAGCTGTTGACAATAAACCATATTATATGAGATTATTACAGTGTATCTAGAGTTTGGTCTTCCTGTCTTCTCTTTTTTTTCTCTCCGCAGAATGTGCACTGAATGAGGGAGCTGTACTGAATGTAATACTTTTATTTTGACAATCGTAGATCAATTAAATACTGCTTAGTCAGGCTCACTTGCAGCTCATTAGTTCCTTATTTCAAAGGCCCATTGCATCAGCTCTTCCATATTTAATGAATTCTCTGCCTAGTATGGAAATACTCATTGTTACCGTTGAGAGGAACACAGTATCTTTCTAATGATTTAAGAGAGGAAATCTCAAAGTGAGAAACTCTTTTGGAATTCTTAATTCCAGCTTCTTTTAAGCTGTGACAATTGTGTTTGGGCCTCTTTTGGAGCAGATCTTGCACTGCTACTGGGAATCATTATGGTAAATGCATACACACAGTTGGCGTCAATATTCCAAGGCTATCTGTTTTTATAATGTTTTTTTCTTTCTTGTCATAATATGGAAGTAGTTGTTCTGAAAGGGCCATATGAGCAGGCTTATTTTTTAGGGCAACTAATATTGCATAAAGAAAAGTATTCAATAGCAGCGAATCATAATTAGGGGTCTCATGAAAGATGCATTTTCATTCATTTTAGCACATGTTAACAAGCCCTAGCAACCTCTTCCTTATTTTACCCTCATTGGGCAAAACAAACAGGCATGAAAAATGTGCAATAAAAATAGATGAAGATTCATACGCACAGTTTAACTGGCTTATCTACATTGAGCTCAGATCAAATGGGTTGCTTTACTTTACTCCAGTGTGCACACAATCTCTCTTTAAATAAACCCAAGAACAAACAATTTACACCAATCAGCCATAACCTTATGACCACCAGCCTAATATTGAGTAGGTTCGCCTTATGCCGCCAAAACAGCCCTGACCCCTCGAGGGATAGACTCCATTAGACCTTTGAAGTATGCTATATAGTATCTGGCACCAAGTCATCAGTAGCAGATTCTTTAAGTCCTGTAAGGTGAGGCCTCCGTGGATTGGACTTGTTTCTCCAGCACATTTCACAGATGCTCAATTGGATTGAGATCTGAAGAATTTGGAGGCCAAGTCAACACCTCAAACTCGTGGTTGTGCTCCTCAAACCATTTTTGAACCATTTGTGCAGTGTGGCCGGGCGCATTATCCTGATGAAAGAGGCCACTGCCATCAGGAAATAGTATTTCCATGAAGGGGTGTACTTGGTCAGCAACAATGTTTAGGTAGGTGTCAAAGTAACATTCACATGAATGGCAAGACTTATGCCTCATTCACACTGCGCGATTCGCACGATTTGTCACGCGATATCGCGCAAATGCTTGCATTGAGCAAGCGAGAGTCGCGGCAAAATCCGCTCCAAAAAGGGTCCTGCTGTAGCGGCACACGACCCGCGACAGCAGGACCCTTTGCCCCATCGCAAAGCATTGAAGAGCGATATCGCGCGGTAAATAGCCGTGATATCGTGGGAACTACCGCGCGATAAATCGCTCAATGTGAACGGGGCCTTAATGTTTCCCAGCAGAACTATGCCCAAAGCTTTACACTGCTTCCTTCAGCTTTCATTCTTCCCATAGTGCATCCTGGTGCCATCTCTTCCCCAGGTAAGCGACACACACGCAGCTGGTCATTCACATGATGTGAAAGAAACCAGTCGTCTAGTTATCACAATTTGGCCTTGGTCAAAGTCGCTGAAATCCTTCAATTTTTTCTGCCTCCAACACTTTAAGGACAAAATGTTCACCAGGTCCCATTGCTGCACTTGACATTCACTTCATAAGTGTGTGTGTATGTATATATGTAATATATATACTTACCAGTCCTTTAGCTGGCCATACACTGGTCCAAGTCCTGTTAACTTGACCAAAATTTGATCAGTGTGTGTGGCCCAGTCAGCACCCTTCTGTTCAGGAAAAGTTGGTTAGCTGACATTTGATGAAGGAGCTAATGTGAAAATTGTCGGCTGCCAACTGGTTGCAGTCACTGTTTGGGTATTATATGCACTGTATAGAGTGGATGGGGGAACAGTGTCTTTTTCACTGAATGAGACAAGGCAATTGGTGTATGGCCAACCTTATATGTGGTGGCTGCCATAGTTTTAATTTTTCAGGCTAAGAAAAATTTTAGTAAGTACAGAAAATACCTGCTGATCTTGCCAGAAATGTGGTGCCCTTGCTGCTTCCTCTGAGCTGACCTGAAAGCATAAACAATAATATCTTTCTGTAAACTACTATTCCCTCCCCCCACCACATGCAATCTAGATAAAGAAAGACATGTTTGAAATCCAGCTTGGGTGACAATCAATGAGTATGTTATTTGGCATATTACCAGGTCTGGTGAGCTGCAGTATATGACATATTTTTGTTTTGGGTTTAGATACATTGCCATGCACTTATACCACTAATCGAGTGGTGACGAGCTTATAAAAATAATGTAATTCCTGTTTTAGTGGTCGTTAAAGTATAATGTAGTCATATCACATTCTTTACTTGTAGCATGCAGGCTCCTGCTAAAGGATTACACACCAGCTCTGTAGGCTTTCCTGCTTATGATTTTGTTCATGATGTATTTCAAAGTATTTGTTCCACTCTGCTTGTTTAGGTCCACAAATGCCTCAGTTGTAATTCCAAAGTTTCACTCAGCATGGCCGGCAGCGGTAACTCGTAACAGCCATCCCGTCAAGAATGCAGAAGTTGTTTTTATATGCTGAAAAATCTCATTACTACAGAAAGCTCCCCTGATACATCTGAGGACTTTCTGTTTATTCTAGCAGAAGGTTGTCTCGTATTTTGCAGGTGGTCATTTTGACTGTTCTTCATGTAGGGGTATGCTCTGCAATGTTCTCATTGCAATATCACTTAACCGTTGAAGCATTTTACATCTGTATGCCATAGACTTCAAGAACATCATTCATTATATGCTAAAGGATATTTTTAGCCTTGACAGTATTAGTTTGATGAACTGCATGGTTACTTTGATTTGTGTTCTAGGAGTTAAAGTTGCTGTACAATCCAGCCAAGCCTGAATATTTTGGTTTTAAAGCTCACAAATTTGGTTAAGTCTACACCACTTTCCTGCTACACTAATTTAGTTGCCTGTACCCTCAATTTCCGAATGGATCAAGGCTTGAATCTCTAAAAATGCAGGCTGGCATGTTCTAGGTTTCCAGCACTACCCTCTTTCTGAGACCACTGCACCATTTCTTACACACATTGGAGCATAAGAGGCTGGTTGCACAGAACTGAATCAAGGAACACTGGGCTGCAGTGCTTATAACTGACTGTACTCGATTTTTGACTTGTAGGAAAGTTAATTTGAATAGATGACATATTCTGGTGGCAATACAATTTCCTGGCTAATGTTAGTGTTGATCAGAAGTTCTTTCTAATATCTACAGCTTGCTGTTCACTTGTCTGCTAAAGGGCTAAAAAGAATAACCTACAGTCCCGGGAGAGTCAGGAATGGTAGAGCAGCTTGCCAGGGTTTTACAGCACTAGATCTTGTCCCTACTCTTTTTGACCGGCGTGCTACTGTAATAGGAGAAAACAAATGGCTTTACAAAAAAAACAACACATCACTAGGTTATATGATGAATGATCACCAATCTAGTTTGTGTTATAAAATCTGGAATGTATTTGTAACACCTAGAGAGACCAAGCTGGTGAACATGAAATCTTAAAGAGAACACTTTGTTTTGCAGGTACTATAGAAAGACCAAGCTTGGTGGGTTTCAGGACATGGAGTGTGTGCCCTGTGGAGATCCCCCACCTACTTATGAGCCTCATTGTGAGTACTTGTTCATTCATCATTGTATATGACGATCTTCCGGTTGTGAATTTTGGTTACTAATTTACAGTGGCTTGGTATTGTTTTGTAATCCTCAAAAAGTTTTAAAGCTTGATAAAAATGTGTAAAGTGGAGTTCTTCTGTACAGCAGGACAAGGTTTGTGTGGTTTAAAGAAGGGTTCACAATGAGCCTCATTTTTCATTTATTAGGTGGTATACCTCCATTAGTTGAGGAAATACAATTACTACTCTGCCAGCTACTTACTGGTAGGGTGATCTAAAGCTTTTGTTTTAGTAGGTAGCCTGTGCCAGCTTTATTCTAAATTGATAAGGAAAGCTAATTATTTTAGTGAATCTATCACAGCATAGAAGTGCAGGCTGAAACACCGAAGAAGTCACTTTCACTTTTATAATTCATGAACTGTTGCTGCTTCTCATTGACCAAACCGTTTGTGGTGGCTCACAGTCCTAAAATAATTATTATTGTAGGCCAGCTGTTTGCCATGAGCAGCCATGGTTCACAGAAAAAGAAGTCTTGAGGATGAAGCATCATACAGCTCCATACTGTAGAGGAGGGCAATCCTGAAACACCCTTCTCATAGTCAGATATTCACATTTACTTGGGAGAATAAAGCATGTATTCCTACAGCAATGCGTGGATGCTTTCTTTTATGTAATGGCCTCTGTGTTTAAAGACTTCTGCTAATGCTCTTATTAAGCGTTATACAAGAAACCGAAAAGCGCATTGGCCACTGAGGTGTTCATTAAAGCTCTCAAGAAACAGAAGGTTACATGTGCAAACTTTCTCAATATGTCTTGTTGGATTTGAGAGGTTTTGTAAAGTGCACCTGATTTTTTTATATTTCTGACCTTTGCTTACATTTGAGAGAACTCCTCCATATGTTATGTGTTCCTATTCACACAGCATACCGAAAAAATAATAATAATAATAAATATTTTGTACCTTTTTTTTTTTTTTTTT